CGAGCCCCTGCGGGCGCCTCCCGCCGCCTGGAGCCCGCGCTCCCTCAGCAGAGCACCGCGGGCAGAGGGTGGGAGACGAGCAGTTTTCCACGCACATGCCGGGGGGGGAGGGGAAAGCCTTGTGCGTTTCAGGTTTAAAAACTGTAATCTTAGGTAAAGCCACGTAAGGGCAGCTTCCTGTCGCAAATGAGGAAAGTAGCAGGGTCCCAGCTGACACCGCACTGCACAAAAGCTTGTGTGCCCGCAGCTTATAGAGCCCAGGAGGCGATGGTGCACCCTGTCGCAGAGCACCTTGCTCTGAGGACACGGCTGGGGGGCAGGGCGACAGCTCTGGCATACCAGTGGGGTGCGTTAGAGCTTGGCTGCCCTTTCCTGCTGTGCTTGAATTAAAACAGCCCCCACGTTGGGCCCGGCAAAGCCAAGCTTATCACTTCCTTTGCCACCGAGCTTGCCAGATCCATTTTCCCCATGCAGTCTGCAGTTTGACAACGCCACATTAAAATGCCAATCTATTTTTGAAGGGTTTTTTACACCCAGTAATCCTTACAGCAAGGCGCTACCGAAACTCCCACAGCAGGAAGTTACGGACTCCAGCGTCTGTCTACTACACCTCTGGTTCTGTAAGGGCTTCCTAGTCCTGGGGCATAACATGGAGCAAATCTGTGAAATTAGCTTGACTCCAGTGCCCCGCACAAGCGAATAAATAAGAATCAGAGAGCACTAGGCAGTGTGTTGCAAAGACATCTAAGTGATTGCACGCGAAGCCAACACAGGTCTGGCAGGCTCAGTGCTGTGACAGAGCTAAAAAATCCTACTGAACCCAAGCTGTGCCTGCATCTGTGGCACAATTAATCTGTGACATGAACAATCTGCCTGTAGATAACTGAGTGCTGACTATATGTACCAATTTAACAATTCATATTAATTAATACTTACAGCTATTTTGAAAAAATAGCCCTAATATTTGGCAACAAAGAGCAAATATCATTACAATTCACAAATGTCAAGTTCATGCATTAATAATTATGAGATAGATTGCAAAGTCATCATAGTATACATGAGCATTTTGATTTTATAATTTGATTTTGATCTCCCTAAGCATGCTTGTGAGAGACAATTAGCATTAATTATGTTACCATAGCGCACAGAAGTCTCACTCATAGCCACCATTGACTTGAGTAATACACAAAGAGAGAACAAAAGGTAGCACCTACCACAAAGTGCTAACGCGGAAGTATAAGACAAAAGATAATAGACACAGAAACAGAGTATGAACAGATGATGAGAATGGTCATGCCAAGAAGAGGTCTTTGCATAGTAGCAGCCTAGCTACTGTCGATTTTCATAGTCATCATAGTGAGAGTCCATTAGGGAGGTCTTTGCGTGATCACAATGAGAGTGCTTTAGGTGATGATAACGGCTTAGGTTTTTTTGTTGATTATTTGGAGCTCTTATCAAGCATGAAGGACAACACAAGAGAAAGCAAAATGTATTTGGCAAATTAGTAGGTGAACAATGAAGATTTGTATTGCACTCTGCTGCAGTAAGAGTAGCACACAGAATGAAAATATGTAGGCAGGAATGAACTACGACAGACCTTCAAAGAGAAGAGAAAGTTTTCTCTACTAAGTTTACATATAATGGAAGGAATCCACCATTAAGAGATAAGCTGTTGCTTATCCCAAACTCCCCAAACTGTATTGGTTTTGGCTGTCTTTGTGAGGACTGTGATTCTCACAAAATGCCTCTGTCTTTTGTTTAGAAATTAATTACACTTCCTAGACCATATTATCTGTGTTCCCTCTGCCTGTATCAGTTCAAACTAAGAATAATTTTCAGACAACAGTTTCTGCTTTTGTTTCTCTGAGGTCTGCAATCCACATGGGTAGCTTCAGTAGTCTTTCCCCTTAAATCCAAAGCCAAGCATTTTAGGAAGGGTAAAAGACCTAAGAGGGGCACAAGTGCTAGCTATGGCAAAAAAAAAAAAAAAAAACCAGCGTCACGGGACACAGTGTCTGGGCAATTTCTACTCTCCCCTCCTCTGAGAAAGGTGTCATCTTCTGGTTAAAAAAGACAACATGTTCAAACAATCTCCTATAGCCATCCTAACAGGCTGCTCAACCCCAGGAGTTAGGCAAAAGTAGATGGCAGCTGGTGTCTTTTTTAAGACTGAGTCTAGCATTTTCTGAAATCCTGGTGCTCTAGGTGACCCTGCTTGAGCAGGGGGATTGGACTAGATGATCTCCAGAGGTCCCTTCCAACCTCAACCATTCTGTGATTCTGTGATTTCAGATACGTTAACCATCAGGGTCTGGAATGCATCCCCCTCCTAGGAGTTCAGTTGCTCAGTTAAAGAGTTTAGCTGCCTGAGTCCAAGGTCGGCTCGTTTGCTGATAAGAGCTGTTGTGAAGAAAGCTAGAAGCAAGGGCTGGACCATCCTTTCCCTTGGCAATTGCTTTTAAGCTCAGGCTGTACTGCTGGCCACAGTCTATATTACATCACAGCTGTGTCTGCACCTTGTCTCAGACCTCTGATTCGGACCCTGACCTGCCAGCTCAGCATCCCAGCCTGACCTCAGACCCACATCATCACTATGGACTTGCTGGGTGATTGCTGGACAGTGTCTGACCCTGACCACTGTCTTTGGACCTGATCCTGACCCAGACTTGCTACTCCACATCCCAGCTCCTTGTGGGTCAGGTCACTGCTTTTACCTGCCTTGTTGTCACACTCCGCCTCCAGCTCACCTTTGTGGAGCAGCTGGCCCTCACTGCTCCCTGACGTTATCATACTAAACCCATTACCATGCTCCACACTTAAAAATATAATCACCCCAGGCTGTACATATGCAAAACAACCATGCTGACTGTCCACAGAAAAATAAAAATAAGCCATCACACAGACTGATCTCACACAGCTCAGCTACACATCTCAATCACATAACTGCTGGACACAGCTTTATTTCCCATTAAACAGAGTATCTACACTGAATTCCTACACCTTTAGGTTTTGTAAAGGTTTCCATAGCCTGTGTACCCAGCCATCAGAGAACAGCTTTGACTCAGGGAAATCTTTGTAGCATGCAGAACTAAAATTCTTCCCCCGCCACCCCCCCCCCCCCGGGCTCATAAAGACTGGTGTAGCACTTGGCTATTCTTGGCTGCTGGCTCCTGAGGCTGTAGAGAGCCAAGCATACAGATGGTCTATGCACATATATTATGATTATTACTAGGGTACAGGGCCTGTACATGGACCAGAATCCCACTGAACTGGGTAGTATATAAACAGAATACAGGTATACAAACATCTAAATATAAGATAAGGCATGAAGATGGTCACACACAGATGGAAAAGGATCAGTTTGATTAGCATGACAGACAGTGATCTCTGTATAACAGGAAAGTTACATTATCAAGTTCCATCACAATAAGTGATAATCTTAGTGAGGATTTGAAGGAAAAATGATATGTGGATATTTAGAAGGTAGTGGACAACAGGAGTGAAGAGGACAAAGAAAATAGGATGCTTTTCTTAAAATTTAACAAGTGGCTGTAAGACATTGATATATTAATCTGATGAGAGACAAGAGCCAACTACTTGGTACAAAAGATAGATGACAACACATGGGAAAGGGACAAACTGTGAAAGCTCTGCAGTTGATACAAGATACTTGCCAAGACCAAATAAAATGATGTTCTGAAAGTTAGGATGTAAGATGAAAACACAGACAGGTTGTGAGGATGGATAGGAAAGACCATATAATAGAGATCTAATGCAGACAGAATCTTCAAGAGTTAGAGCTGGATATGTCTTCTACCTGATATTTTTTAGCTGAACCCATTTTAATGTCTGCTTTGAGAAAAAGGGAATATCTTACCTATTTTATACTGGCTAGATACCCAATGAGCAAACTGTTAATAGTTTATCTTTCATTTCTGTCTTAAAAACTGCTGTTTGTCTGATTATTCCAAAATTATGTAGTCTAGCAAGATCAAATATCAAGCAAGTGATTAGCATCTTCTGATGCTAATCAGACTCAAAAAACAGCAGAGATTTATGAAAGAACCAAATTGCCTAATTCAGGCAGGTATTCACCAGGACAAGAAAACAGCAGTGAAGAATTACACCATATAAAAGAATTAGAATGTAGGAAGGGATGGACATCAGAGAGATGAAACCTGACGTGTATGCATAAACAGAGAGGCAGTAGCGCCATTTCCAGCTTCCACTGCTTACATGATCTATAGTAATAAAATATTGTAGATGATAACTCAAACAATGGTTTGTCACTGTAACTGTAAATGACAGTTAACATGCCTCACTCAATCAGTCTCCTCTGTCACCAAATCTCCGAATATAGAAAAGTCTTTTTCTCCCTTATTTTTCCAAAAATATATTTGTGGTCTTCCCTACTTCCTTAAGTCAAAGGTTCCCCCTCAATTTCCCCAAGCACTTCTAACACATAATTCTGTTTCCTGCTGCCACCATGCCAGGGTGGTTCCTATCTCCCCACGCATCCTCCATTAGCTATGATTTCCTCTTACTCTTTTTCTGCTGTTGGTTTCCAAAACAGTGGCTTCTTCCTAAAAATTTCCAAAAAAATGTTGACTTATCTTCTGCACAGTACAGTAAGAAACAACACTGTGACTCACTGACTCATCACACTGCAAAGCTTTAAATGTCTATGTATAAGAATATCTAGAGGGTCTCCTAAGGTATGCAAAATATAAGAGCTGACATGACTGAGTGTCTCATGAACCAATAGTTGTTCTGATTGCTTTAGAAATGTCATAAGGTGCCAGAGCACATTGTCCTAGAAGGTACATTTGTGTGTTTTAGGTAGGTTCACAATGGTAGAAACATTAACCAAAATGCAAAAAGAGAGCACAAATAAGCTGATAGATTGTTTTTAAGTGTTTTATGGTAACTCTGATGGAAGTCTGTGCTATTTAATGAGCTGCTTTCTTCTCTTTTTTTCCTTTAATCTTTACAGCTGTCTCTGAAAGAATATTTTCAAGTACAGAAAGCAATACGCAACAGTGCTAACATCCGGATGACAATAAACCAACAACAAGAATGGAAGTAAATTTATTCAGCAATTCAACTGTTGTAAATAGTTCATCCATCAACCATAAGCAGTTAGAAGGGCATAGCCTCTGGGAAGTCATTACTATTGCCACTGTAACTGCAGTTGTAAGCTTAATAACCATAGTGGGGAATATTCTTGTAATGATATCATTCAAAGTTAACAGTCAGCTTAAAACTGTTAACAATTATTACTTGCTCAGCCTTGCCTGTGCAGATCTTATCATTGGAATATTTTCTATGAACCTTTACACATCTTATATACTCATAGGCCATTGGTCTCTTGGAAGTCTAGCATGTGACCTGTGGCTAGCACTGGATTATGTAGCTAGCAATGCCTCAGTAATGAACCTCCTAGTCATCAGTTTTGATAGATACTTCTCCATCACAAGGCCTTTAACTTACAGGGCTAAACGCACACCCAAAAGAGCTGGTATCATGATTGGTCTAGCTTGGTTAATTTCGTTCATTTTATGGGCACCTGTAATCTTGTGCTGGCAGTATTTTGTGGGTGAAAGAACAGTACCACCTGAAGAATGCCAGATTCAGTTTTTATATGAGCCCATTATCACCTTTGGTACTGCAATTGCTGCTTTCTACATCCCAGTGTCAGTGATGACTATTTTATATTGCCGCATCTATAAAGAGACTGAGAAACGTACCAAGGACCTTGCTGAACTTCAAGGTTCTGAGTCTGTGGCAGAGTTTGAGATGATAAAGCCTCAGAAAGCTCTCCTGAAGTCTTGCTTCAGTTGTAAACAACAAAACTTAGTCAAAAGAGAGAGATGTCAGGCTTCATGGTCTTCATCTAGTCGAAGTACATCAGCTACAGTGAAGGCCTCTCAGGCAGTGAGTACTTGTAACGACTGGTCTAAAGCTGACCAGTTAACCACCTGCAGCAGCTATGCATCTTCAGAAGAAGAGGATAATAAGCTTGCCAGTGATTCAATTTTCCAAGTAACTTACAAAAGTCCAGACAAAGGTAAAGCAGAAGAGTTTATTGAAAAGGAGAGTAAGGATGTTATTGTCAAAGACCAACCTGAAGAAAATGATTTTGAGACCCAGAAATACTTTTTATCGCCTGCGAAAGGCCACGTACAAAAAAGTAAGAAATGTGTGGCCTATAAATTCCGCTTGGTGGTTAAGGCTGATGGTGCCCAGGAAGCCAACAATGGTTGCCGTAAAGTAAAAATAACTCCTTGTGCTCCTGCTCTCTCAAAGGATCCTTCCGTTAAAAGCATGGATCCAAATATAAGTAACCAAATCACCAAAAGGAAAAGGATGGTTCTTATAAAGGAACGCAAAGCAGCACAGACTTTAAGTGCCATTCTTTTGGCTTTTATCCTTACATGGACTCCCTACAACATAATGGTTTTGATCTCCACATTCTGCTCTGACTGCATCCCCCTTACACTATGGCATCTTGGATATTGGCTGTGCTATGTGAACAGCACTGTTAACCCCATATGTTATGCTCTCTGTAACAAAACTTTCAGGAAGACTTTTAAGATGCTGCTTTTCTGCCAGTGGAAAAAGAAAAAAGTGGAAGAGAAGCTATACTGGCAGGGCAATACCAGATTGCCATAATTGCTCATATATAAATAACACGGGGAAAAAAAACAACCAAACAGGTATTGACATAACTGAGTAAACTGACTGTAATTCTGTCATTTTAGACTGTTGCTTCATATGTCTAGGGGTTCAAACATGTCAGCGAAAAAGTAAAATTGTGCATGAAAATAGCGTGCTTGGGATGAAGAAGTCAGTGGCTGCTGTGAACAGCGGAGAGTGTTTGTGATTATGCAGTACATCTGCATTAAAGTTATTGTGTTTGAGGTCTTCTGTCCTTTCTTTCAGACTGAGAAAGAGTAGTGTAGTTTATAGATTACTAGAAATTAGACTTGGATTATACCTATCAGGTCATCCAGTCTATCCTCCTGTAGTGCAGAACTGTTTCTTCCTGTAGTTTCCTCCTTCCTTTCTAGTGTTTTGTCTATTCTAGTTTTCAATGTACCAAGCAATGGAGCTTCCACTACTTTCCTTCTGAGACTTTTTCATCTCCTGTTGGAATGGAAGAAGGACTATTTAAAGGGGGAAATAATAAATGGTCAGGGAGATTCTTAGTACTCCAAATGGACAAATATATTATGGCAGAGTATAATGCTGAGAAATTTCCACTTTGACTTTTGGGAGAGAGTAAGGGCTCATGGGGAGGAAATAGGTAAGTATTTTGTGTATTAGAAGCCCAGTCACAATCTCAGTGCCATCATGTAAGTCAGCATCATCAGTAAACAAGGGTAATAGCAGAGAACTCTGAATTTGTATTTCTTTATTTCTCAATGCCTGTGAAGGAAATTTTTAAAATTTGTGTGATAGTGACAATAATACAAATCAGAACTGACCATACAACTTAATGGATATAGTCTATCTACTATACAAAATAAGAGGACATGAGGAAAGTCTGTTTTCAACCTCCTCTGTTAGCCTTCCCCTTGCCCCCAAAGTTTCCATTAGTTTAGTGATATGCAGAACACAAGAAAAATACATATTGATGTCCTGCACATTCGTCTATGCTATGAATAATTATTAAAAGCACTGATAGAATTGGTATCTCTGAAATAACGAAAGATTTTTAAAATAATTTTTGAATATTTATATAAAACTAATAATGACACTTTGCACTTTCACAGCACTTTTTATCTTTACATAGCTTTACAAATAGTAACTGACACTAGGCATCTGGAAACACAAGTTCTCTCCAGTCAATGTCTTCTGGTCCAGCAGAACCATACAGGACTGGGGACTGGAAAAATCCCTCTTACGGCTTTGGAATCTGGGATCTGCATGTACTGGCCTAGTTACAGTGAGTTGAGAATCTGTCCACTAGCTCAGGTTTGCTGGGGCTCTGGATGTGTGGTAAAGTCACTGCTGTGACAGGATGAACTGTATGTGCTTATCTGATATCTGTGTCAGATTGACAGGAGCCCTGCAACATTGACCGAATAAGTGTATTTATGGGGCTGCTTTTAGCACAAAGCAACTGAAATGGAACTGATGATCTGGCTCATTGTGGTGGAAACAAACATGAAGCATCAGAAAAGGCCAAAAGAAAGCAAAGTTAATGGTGGCAACAGAAGTCATAAGGAATGAAGTCTGAAAGTAAACATATGTTAATGAATAAATGAGAAAGAACTCTGGATAACGCACTGAGTCCATGTCACAAAGTTCAGATTCAGCTCTAGCCTTCCTATCAAAATTCAGGGTGAGATGCTCTGGAATACTGGTTTGGGTAAAGCTCCATGTTATATCTACTATACGTGTTAGCGTGACATTACAGTGGTGACGTGACACAGTTGCACATTTCAGAGATAGTGGTAGTCATCCTGAACATACTGTTGCTTTCAACAGAATTGTTCACATAATTTATTAAATTGTTGTACTATGAAAATGTTTTTCTACAGATATATAATTCCTTCAGGTCAATAACCACAGTACAAGCAATTAATATTTTTTATCCCCGGTCTCCAGAGGGGAAAATTGTGTCAGTGAAAGATTAGCAGTGCAGTAATGTAAAAATAAGTTCTCTAAATTCATATGATTGATTTTGAAACATACCATACTGTGCCTGTTATTTTTGGTACATTAGCATATGATTGATTATTAAAGCAAGGTATGGGTTTTTATAAAGACCCTTTCATCAGTTTTCCTCTCTCACTATCCAGAACTTTTCCTGTGAACAATAACTATGTACAAGTTGGTCATTATAGTGGATTCATTTTATATTACATTGGATCAGACATTCAGTAAACAGTGTGTTTGATTCTTAGCAAATTCATGTGTCCCTCTGTGGCACAAGCTGTAGTTAAAGGCAAAATTTATGAACTAGTAACAGTTCCTGCTAGCTGCGGTGTTATTGCAAAAGTAAAGCATCGGCTTCTACTTCTGAAATTAAATGGGATATTTTTTGTCAGTTTTCGGCTTCTGTTGAACAAGAGTGTTCTGTAAATGTTTATGGAGTCTGTGCTCAGTAAATGTATTAAATTACACAGTGATGGATGCAACAATGTTGGTTTAATGTAATCGTGAAATATGTGTTCAAATTATGCTGCTAGCACTTTATAATGTGAGACATTACATTACCAAACCTAGGTGCATTGTAAATACCTAGAATTATATAAAAAAATGTTGTTGCTTTATTGTTATGTAGGATGTTTACTCAAAAATAATCAAAAAAAAAAAACCCTCACGATCCTCAAGAGAACATCAGTCGGGACTTAATTATATCCTGTTTTCAAGTTCTATAAAGCTTCCTTTAAAACATATTGTGGGACTTTTGCAGTGTCAAACAATCTTGTTATCTATATTTCTGTCCCTTTAATGAATCTTTTACTCATCTTTTCATTTTGATTAAGGTCATGGTCATGGACTTGTGCAAAGATCTTTTCTGTAAAATTGCATTTTATTTTTATATACATATGTATTTATATGTATGTCTGTATGTATAAATCCCTAACTAAGCTTTTCAGGGACAAAACACACGTTAATATTTTGGAATATTGAATTCTTCCCCAAAGGAAATAGATCTATCATTTTTGTCTCTCCCTTTTCGTATGCCTCCTTATATATCCCAGATCTCCATAAAGTACCAAATAATACATTTTATGTAAATATAATTTCTGTTTGTACATAAATACTTGGAAGAATTCTCATAATTTTTAAACTGACATAAAACATTTATTTAAAATTGGGCACTTTTTGTGACTCTTCAGCACAGAATGCAGAGCTTTGCGAAGAACAGAAAGTCAAGACAGAATGCAAATGCAGAATTTTGCTTTATAGAAAAATTATTTTGAATTAAATAAGGATGAAATCAAAAAGGTTATAGAGAAAATGCTGTAACAACCTATAAAATATGATAGAGCATATTTTGCCATTAACTTAATTATACAATGTAACAAATAATCATGCTTATCCTATTGAACTCTGCATGTCAGTTGATAACTGCTATCAGTTGTTGAAAGATATTTCTGTATCTCCTCTCTGTTGTATCCAAAGTGAGACCTGTACTGGGGTACTATGGCCTTTAGGAGCATTTGAGTCTAGATCCAGATATAGTGATATACTGAAGGCAAAATCCTTAATTGTTCTTGCTTATCACCCCTTAGATATTGTTCCAGTTTTGGAGCTGAGCCTCATGAAAAGTCCCCATCTCTGTTTTAATTAGTCTGATCACATATCACTCACATAGAGCTTTTCTCAGAAATTTGTGGCATTGCCTCCTAGACGTATTTGATACAAGGCGTGAACAGGTCAAACTAATTTAACTAACAAATCTTAATACAGATGTACCTAAGGATAATGATGCACCTGAAGAAATAAAAATGTCACTGGGATATGGTAAGTATGTTGAATTTGATAAAAGAGAAGTCGTTACAACAATTAAAGAATCCCATATCAATCTGGTGAATGCTCTTTTCTCTTAGAAAACAATTATTACAAAACTGCATACACAATTTGAAACTCAGAATTGAGTACCTGTGGACTTTTTCAGATTCTAGATTTTGAACAGAATTTTGTAAGATGCTTTCTTAATTGTAATAGGAAATAAAGTTTGCAAATAACCCCTTCATACTTTTGGATTTCCAAAATCTTCATATTGAATGAGAATTTTTGGACGCTTTTCTTATAAAGCTACTCTGTAGTCATTAGGAGATACACACACTTCTACCTTCTCTGGATTGTTTGCTGTAGGAAAACAAGCAAACAAACAAACTTTCCTCAGGAATTAATTTTCTTTACTTTCTATAGAGCTAGAAGTAATGTAAATCAACCACGTGGATGCAACGAAAACTAAATAACAGTTTCCTCAGTTACATATAACAATCAAGCTGGAGTTATCCTTCGCTGTGATTTGTGCATCTAGGGGTCCCTCTTTTGAAAAGGACTCTGCCAAAAAGCTTTATACTTATATGCCTTTTTGAAACTATAGAAGGATGTTTTTTACTGTTGTGAGCTAGAGAACTTTACAGATCCCCTGAATAAGCTTACAGGCATCACAACAACAGCTAGGAAAAATCCTAGCTGCTTCCCAGTGTGACTCTGAAGATGGATTCCAAACAGCGTTTGTAGGTAGGAATTCTAAGGGGTCCATCACACTCTGAAATGTTCATGCAGCCTCTTTACAGTCGGTGACTTCTCTGTTTTAAAATGCCCTTCCAAACCTGAGCTCCAAAAACGGATACTATGTCTTTTCTGTTAAATACCTTGGCATTCCTCCTACCGAATCAAACAGAGGCCATTTATTTCTCGGTCATCCCAAATCTCCAATCTGGATTTGGTACCCACAAAGAAGTTTTTTTCCACATACAGTAGGTAGCTGCGTGTCATAAAACCTTAAACTTCGGTCATTCAAATAAACTTCTGATTTATGATTTGTCTCAATGGTTATGCAATATCTACAGATAGTTAAAAACAATGGTAGTATTGTGTTGTAAAATAATAAATAATCTACAACTCTGAGTAGTTTCAGAAAGGGATGATTTCGTGAATTATTTCCACCTTGGTAAATGTATTTATTGAGGTTTAATAGCACTGCTGGGCTACATATCAGCTTATGAACTTCAACTCTCATTACACACAGTAAAACCACTGCCTTTTACTCACCTGTTATGCAGTTAGCTATTAAATGCCAATAGTTTCTTGATGTATCTGCTGACAGATCAACCAAGTCAATTTTTCTCAAACAACTAGTCATTGTAAATCCTTCAAAAGTTTTTTTTTTTTTTCTAAATATCTACTTCTCCAAATCCTGGTTGCTGATGGGTCGTTTCATTATAGTTCATTCTCCTATAGTTTGGGGATTTTTACTGAATTCCTGGATTACAGTGCCAATATACCAGCTGGAATATCTTTTACTCCTTACATGAGCGACTCCTTACATGTCTCCATCTAGACATAGTGAAGTTCAGAAGGCTGTTTTTTCTGTATGCCACACATAAGGCCTACTTACATTTGCAGTCCATCAGGTAGATATGGGAGGAAGAGTGGGGAGAGGTGAGTTCAGGGCCTCTATCACTCCCACGATAGAGGATACCCAGCTTCAGTGCGTGGCCGGAATCAGCTCTGTACCCTATCACTCCACCTGCATCCTGACTAAATGACTGAAGAACTCTGTTTTGTTAATTAAAGTAGAATAAATGAGCCCAGAGGGTTAACGTATTAGCAGCTGACAATGGCTTGGGCCTAAAAACACTTTGTCCTACCTAAACGTATGGTTAGCCCCAAAAAAGTCATGTGGAAGTCTGGAAGTTTATCATTTAGGTTACACATAAGAAAAACAATCAGAAACAAACACTTTCTCATGTAAAAGCTGAATTATTATGGAAGCCAAATAATAATAAATAAGTATTTTTGCTAGAAAGAGGCTACCAGGCTCTTTTTTGTCAACTGATATTTTTTGGGGAATAATTTATCCTTTGGCTAAGTTCTGAGTTGATTATTGTGATACTGTATGTGAGAATGTGTTTATCTTTCCTGCAGTTGAGAAGAAAGTATGGGGAGAAATAAAAAGTAGTGAAGAGCTGAAGAAACCTCTAACGCCAACCTGTTATTGTCAGGGGACTGTCTGTTTAAAGGGTACAGCACCACATGGTTCTAATTTATGGGTGCTCTGAACTGGGAGTCAGCTGTACAGCTTATGCTCTAGACTTTGTCATAGCTCCTCATTTTTGAAAGCTATTTGACCAAATAATTTTTTTGCATTAGTTCCTCTTGGGAGGACCCACCTCCTTCCTTCAAGTCAGTACAGCAGGCAGTAGACTCAGAAAAGGACAAGAAGGAGGTAGGACAGGAGGACTATGACAGGGCAAAGAAGAAAAGAATAGACAGAATAAAATCTCCCACGTATCAGGCTGTGATTTTGCTGGTTCAGTAGTAATGGCCACTTGCCCTCAGCATTGTTCTGGATATCCAATGATAATAATCCTCTTCTTAAAACACAATTAAAACATTTTATTTTCTGCAAATTAATTTTCATGGGAATTATGAGATTCCATTTTTAAATTAAAAAGCAGAAGTTTGTCAGTCTCTGTTGGTTGAGTTCCTTTGACTGAAATATCTAAGTTAACATGTAAGATATTCTAATTATTATTCTGATGTTTTGCTTAATGCAATAATGAAAACTGTTCAGTGATGGAGAAGAAAATCTATTCAGTAAAGGCAGCCTTTTACCAAGGAGCTTGAACACAGGAGTTTAGTCCACTTCTTAACACTCCACGTCCTTCTCTTAAAAAGCTCTAGAAAGAAGTGCTAATGGGTGGATTGAAATATTCTTTACTATCTTCATCCACTGCTTAGTCCTAAATCCAGCTCAGGTGGTCATTTCCATCTTTTCTTTGTTTAGAAGTATGGAATTTATCACAATCCCTGAGTTGCATTAAAAGTCTGTGTTTGAACTATTTTGAACTGTTTGAAGCCCAACGTAGGAATGAAGCAAAACCTCATTCTTCCCAAGACGTTGGAATGAATTCAGAATCTCAGATCCAGGCTCAAAATTAATCACATGACTAATTTTTTTCCAGGATGGAAGCCCAAACTATAGATCTCTGTACCCGTAAACTTTGCAGTAGTTTAAATCTAATCCAGTATGTGTAATTTTATCTAGAAGAAATGGTCACAGGATATGTTAATACTTCAAGCTAACAGACAAATGGAAGCCCAGAGATTATGATTAACACAGAAGAAATACTTTTGCAAAGATATTCTAGAAACTTGATTTACTGTCTTCCCTTCAGAACACACATGGTTTATCTATAGTTCATCTTTCTGATATGGACAAGACTCAGTTGTATATGACAGGCCACGGTCAATGGGTTTGATCATCATCCATGCAAACTTGCACATATGTATCTTGTCGCAGTCCTTCTGCCAGTATATCACATTCCTACGGTTCAGATTTGCCCCAGCGCATGCATCATACCACCAGCCTCCCCCTGGAACGCCATTGTGTTCTAATTTAGCGCAATTCTGAAAGTAATTATCATTGTCTCTGTCCTTGGTGGTGAACTTCTGGTTGTCATGGAGATAAGCTTCTGTGTCCAGGGTCAGAGCATCAGTGGCATTGCCTTTGTACAGACCAACCCTGATTCGGTATTGAGACTCTTCATCTTCAATAAGGAATGGTTCGTACTGTCCTCATTTGATTTCAGCGTTTAAGTCTACAAGTTTGACTCCAAGTATATACTGCGTGGAGCTGCTAGTTAACTGATGCATATATTCATTTCCTAACCAGTAGTTGTCAAGAACAGAGCCAAATCCATATTTGTAATCCTGCCAGGTCCTGTCAAAGTCGACAGTACTATTGGCTGTAATGTGCTGGATCACTGTCCAGCCACCATCCAGCATATTACAATAGACAACAATTGGATCTTCCTTTGGTTGGATGACGTGAAGACCATCTTTGGAATTTCCTGGAGAGCGCTGAAAAATCTCAAAGCAATCCCTTGGATAGTCTGAGTGGGAAAAAACATAGCAAGTTTTAAAGTTTCTGTTCCTATAGTAAATTTTAGATATTGGACTCTGTCCTCTAGAATGAGTGAATGATTGCTTTGATCTGACTGGAAACTGTGGTTCTGACTGACTTCAGTCCAACAGGTGGGACACCTACTCAGCCAAAGCGGGAGGGAGATTTCAGGGCAGAACATACAGGAAACTTTCACAAATTCAAAAAGGGTTTGTTATCCAGCTGTAAAACAGAAGCGTGATTCTGCATTGATGATGGAAATGTGACTGAAAAGGCAAAAGAGATTTTCGCATTAAAGTAGGTATATAGGGTAAAATATCCACTATGCGTCCATAATGGATGCAGTTTGATAGCTTGTCTCTGGCAGGGAAAGAGCATAAGAAACAGGGAACGTACAGACTGCTCCTTCTCCTTCTATGTTTTCCCAGTTTCCAGTGGTCAGTAGGTTAGCAATTCCCTGTGCCATGTGCTGGACCATTGTGTTTAATAAGCGGAGATAGACTTATCCTCAACAAGTAGATCTAATTCCTCTTTAATCAATTTATACTTCAGGCATCTGCAACATCCTTGCATTAAATTGTAACAAGTATGCCATGTGTGCATTCTTTTATGAATGCACATATGATACTATGAATGCACATTTTTTTATTCCTTTTATGGAAAATATTAAAGCATAATTCTTGCTAGTACAAAAGTAAAACAAAAAAAAAAACCCAAAACAAAAAACAAAACGTTTAGGGATTCTCTTAGGAACACTTCTTGTCACTCAAACTCCAGGCTAAATCTTATCACTCGTTTGCAGGTACGAGATGGAACTACTGTGCTGTATAGCTGCAGTGAATAGCAAAATGAATATCAATAACAGGAAGACAGGTGGAAGTGCTCTTCCATTTTATTGCTTATCCATTAAACTCAGGAGTATTAAAAGTGGCATATAAGGCCTGGGAGGGACCTCTTCATTGGACTGAAATGTGTATTGCATTTAGAAATTAATCAATTTTATTAAACAAATTGTTCTTCTGGGAAACTGAGATCATTCAAGAAAAGTATGGCAAGATGCACTCATATTTAAACAAAAAAAAGTGTTGAAAACCAAAGTGTTTGAAAGCTGAAGTTTTAAAATAAAAGCTCATAAAAAAGTGTTCTCAAAAACATTGACCAGATAGGCCCTGCTGATCCTTCTACTCAACACATTTTTTTTTTCCCTGAACACAGTCTGAAAAGAGTCAATCTCATCCTATGGTCTTGTGACCAACAGATCAGAAGTACACTAAAGAGTTCATTTAGGGAGGAGAAAGCCTCACACTTTCTGCAAAGAAAAAGAGAGCACACACCACGAGAGATCATTTTATCCACTACTGGTCCTGTAGGCAATTATGTCATGCAGTCTTCTTCATAGAATTATTAAGTTTCACCTCCTTCAACTGAAAAGCATTGTAGACATCACTAACCATTGCTAGTCTGATGGTTAGAAACATTCTTCTGATTCCCAATCTAATTTTGTCAATGGCTACTTTACATCTATTTTTTTCTTGTGTCATGCTGTCCTTCAGTTAAATAGTGCTTCTTCCCTGGTAATAAGCCCTGATGGACAGAGAGGACAATTATATTCTTAATCAGTCTTTGTGTTGTTAGGGTAAATTATGTTAGGATAAACAAGTTCTTTGATTATCTAGTGTAAGATAGGTCTTCTGTTCCTTAACTGTCTTAGTTTTTCTACTCCTCTTCCACTGCAAATTCATCTCTGAGAATATGAGCAAAATCTGCACAGTGTTCCAGACAGACTTGTATAGCGCAACTGATTCTTCCCAAGTCCTATGAGAAACCTCTCTGTTGATATATTCTAGGGTTGCATTTGTATCTCATAGCTTCCTTTCATCTAGACTTTCTTCTTTGGATCTTTGCAACTGCTAAGTCCCTACTTTGCAGTAAAACCTAAAATTTGGTACTTTATATTTCATCTCACTTCTATTACTCAGTAATAACCGTTTTTTTTTTTCTATATAATATTAATGACTCTTTATGTTGGCACTTCTCTGCTTCATGTTTTCATTAAATTTTATCAGTACATTCCTGGTTTTGCCTCAGTATACTTAATAAGAATACTGCAAACATCACTTGTAAGCAAACACTTCCAGTCTCCCTTCAGCTTTACAGTTTACCTTTCTGCCCAAGCCATCGTTATTTTCTCTTCAGCCTCTACTGAAATTACAGTGTAACCCTATCTTTTCTAATTTAACTAACAGCATCCTATGAAGTAGGCTTTGCAGAAATCCAGATGGATTAAATCTGCTAAATACTATTATTCATAGTATCAGTGCTGTGTCAAATATAGCCTTTACATTAAACGTTTATTGGTATGTCTGAGGCACTCAGGCCAGATTTACAGGAATATACAGGCTTTGCAAAGTCTTACTTTTGGGCCTTTCATTGCTTAATAGAATCCACAACCATGAATAAAATACTTTGAATCTCAATACCACCTGTGTGAAATTATGAAATATCTTTAAAGAGCATAAATGTGTACACGATTCTTTAACCTGGTAGATATGGTCTGACTACAGACCTGATTCCATGATTTTACAGAATGTGTTATAGAAGTACAGTGATGCTCAAACCAATAATATATACAGTGACAATGATATTTGTCTTTCTTCTGTCTCAGTGAGTATTATTCATTCAAAATAGAACAACAATAGATGAATCTTGAGAAAATCATTTAGGAGGTTACAGGATTTATCTGGAAAGTAAATTTTATAGACTCTCAAGTGCCATCAGTCAGAGGAGGAAAATGAATACACCCATCTACTCCTTTTGCCTGTATTTTATGTGGGAGCTATTCTGGTAAATGTAGTTTTTAGAAAAACTACCGAGTTAGACCTTGCAAGCTGGATAGGCAGAGTAATGCCTCAATTATATACACGAGATTTAGGTGCTGAGGTGTCAGGCACAGTCAAGAAATGATGTTAAGAAGAAGCGTTCAAATGCCACAAAATACGTATTGACAGAAAATTTGAACTGTTACGGTCTCTTGAATTAGATGGCAGCTGAGCAAGGGCTTTAAGGATCCTTATTTTGGACTTAGGGGCAGGTCATGTTTATATTTCAAAGTATTTTTGTAGGGCTAACCTTCAGATACCTTGCCTGAAAACATTACAGCAAAGCAAAGAAAGTAAAACACAGCATGCATCCAAATCACTCGCTCTCTTCATGAGTACCTCTGTCATTGATGTTAGCCAATCTCTCATAGCCTCCTGGAGGGAGAAGGTGAGCGTTAGCCAAGATCACTGCCTCTTTGCTGCTCACTGACACAGTACAATGAGAGAGCAACAGCACAATAAATCCCACTGAACTCTTCAACAGCATCTTCCTTCTGAGTCAGTCCTTCTGCAGCAATGCACTTCAGAGCTGTAATGTAGACTAGAATTGAAAATTGAAAGATTTGTGTCTTATAGTATGAAAGTCCTGAAGGAGAAAGAGAAACACATCCTTTCGACATAGTGACCCTCTCTCAAAATTAGCTCCTCCTGCCCCTCAGAAACCCTTGCTTTTCCTGATGTATCATACTGCATTTCTGACTGGTCATTCTGCTGACACGGAGCCTGGCGCTGTGCCACTTGCAATATTTCTTATCTTTGTTACTTTGCGCTGTGCTGGTCAATGAACATAACATAATTTCATGTGTGATAAACAGTAACAGAAAATAATGAAATTACAAAACTTAAAATCACATCTTATATTTACAGATTTAAAGTTCGCTTATTCCTTGAGACCAAACTGTAGTGAAATAGAGGCACCAACGGACGAACCAGCACAAACACTGGCCTCTCTGGCTGTCCGTAGTCCAAACGGTACTCAACAACATGGCTTTACTGGGAATACTTCCATGCACTGAAGAACTCACTTCAGCACATCCAGACTTTGGTTTGTAAGAATTTTCATCTGTAGTTGTAAATAACAGGTCAATGTTTGAAGGTAGGAAAAGAAAATCAGCTCAATAAACAACGTAAAAAAAAAAAGTTTCTTCAGCCTCATCAAAATGCACAAGGATTCAATATATATAATCAAAAGAATTTTGAGCTCCATTTTGTCTTCCTTTTTGGGTTACATGGCTAATAACCCTTCATCCAACACAGCAAGAAGTCTTAGGCTACTACTAGATTAAAGCCTGAGGTCATCATTTAGGCAAATCCTGGACTGACTGAAAAGGAATTTTTATATCAATGGTAGCTTTGACTGAATCAGGACAACAAATGTGTCCCATACTCTCACAGGATACGTTTACTTAGATAGAAACTACTCAAACTCTTTTTCTTCCACTCCTTTTTTTATTCTTGTTTTTAATGACTGAGCTCCAAGCAGTGGCTCCGACAACAGCAGAAAATAGATCTAGCAAGCAGTTCTTTGGTCACAGCTCATTTCCTGCCCGCGTCAGCACAGAGTCTCCACAGGCCGGTACCAATCTCCGCAACAGTTTACATTGCAACAGAGCCACATTCCTTATAAATCTCAGGATTCAGTAGCAGATTCACAGAACAGTTTTCCAAAGTGAAAAATTATTAAGCACATTTTTCTTAAAATGTCCAATATAAATCATGGTAGTAAAATTCAGGTCTGAGAATTAATTTTTATTCCAAACATACAAAAACAAAACATAGAATTTTCTACTCTATTTAAAGCTATGAATTAATAATTCTGATTAACATACAATTTGCCACTACATCTAAAGCTGATCATTTGATATTGATGTCTTAATGAACTGGAAAATTACCTTCCCTGAAATCCAACATAAGGTGTCCCTCAAAACACTGGAGTTCTGCTGTGCTTGCATATCACACTGTCATGCATCCCCTTCTCTATAAGCTTCTATTTTATCATTATTATTTTTATTATTAAAAAGGATTTAAAATAAAAACCTAAGCCACAAGCATCACTAAAATTCAGGGAAATCTGTACTTGGATCTAGGAGTTTCTTTTTAGCTCTTTTTTTCTTTCTGCATTTTTTAAGTGAATCAGTCTTTTTTCTCCCTCATATTTACAGTAAGCACCGAAACGATTTAAAGGGTCCATTTACTTCTAGAAGTGAAATCAACATTATAAATTATTAAGAAAGCAACTGAGGAAAACAGCGCTAGGCAGCCACCTTACCTCTCCTTTCAAGTGAAGCTTGGCAAAGAAACACACACACACACAAATGAATGGGCTCATTCTCTAGAATTGTACTTTGCCTGCTGCTCGAGTCCAGGTGGATAAATCAGCTCCAACACACTACCTGAAATGTAGAAGGGCAGCAAAAGTGCATCTTCATTATTTCACACTGTGTGCTTAGCCTGGTGGACTTTGCTCTGACATGTTACACTTGCAAGTAAGAACACATGAACTAAAAAGTACAAAGTTCTTTCCTAAGGATTAAAATAACACCATAACTAAATTAAATTTCCCTGATTAATAAATACACACAGTGATGGAGAACCATGAAGACGTTTTACTTCAGAAAACTACTCATTACAGGCAGACGCTCAAATTTACTATGTCATTTTATATAGATGAATTAACTAGATGTATGTTACAACGCTAGTCATATTTAAAATTACATAAAGACAACCTGATTTTTAAGTATAAGGAACAAACCAACCCTAAACTGTGTTGTTACTTCTTGCTTGAATATGAAAGGACCTGAAGCAGTGTCTCAGAACTGTAAAAAGAAAAAAAGCAGAACAGACTGGCCACTAGCTTTCTATCTCAGTTTATTTGAATTAACAAGAGATACATTCATTAAGGTAAAATCTGTAATGAATGGGAAGAATTAACTGTTGGTATAGATCCTTGTACCTGAAAGTTGTATTGTCTATCTGGATGTCTTTCAGATGATGTCTAATATAGCATTTATCCTTTCTGAAATGAGACAGCACTTAATTTCTTTGTACTTCTTGATCCTAACTGCAACCTAGTTTGACCAAATCCCACCTCTGAAAAAGGTCACAACTGAAGTCCTGTACAAGCTCTACTTGAAGATTTTGTATTATCCAGAATATCTGGTTTTCAGTAATTCAATAAATTTTTTCAATAATTCAATTTCAATAATCTGCAGTGAAAGCACAACTCAGATGTGAGGGTTTATATTTCATATACAATTAAACAAGTAAACACAGTTTAGGGAAGATTTGCTTCTAATATTTAAAACTCAATGACATTTCATTTCCTTAAGCATGAGGAACACTTTAGCGAGAATAGCCACAGGGAGTCAGAAAAGTATCTTTTCCCTGACACTGGTCAGTATCAGAGTTACAGGGAAGAGTGTAAGAACAGGGTCACATATTCTCCAGGTTTTAGTATTCTGCAGCTGAGGGAATTCCCAATATCTGTATGTTTAACATAGCTAACTTCTGATTAGTACTAAGCTTTATAATTCTGGGCTAGGATATGAAAATACTGTGCTGTGGCTTATTAAATAATAAAAATGTGCTGAATATATTCAGATCTCGCTGAAACAGTACTGCAAGAAAGGGCAAGAGATGGTATCTTGCCACTCTTTTCATTTCACACCCCTCCCCAAAAACACCATTGACTGTAATGGTGTTTATTGATAGGTATCACGTCACTCAAATATAAATTGGGGTACATCTCTGTTTTGTGCCTTTGATCCATACATCTTCCATCACTGTGTATTCCCTCCCCCATCTTTCCATTTTGCTCTGCTTTCTTGCTGTTTGCTCTGCTTTGTTGATTTCCGCACTTTCATTTGAGCTGGCAGAGCAGAAGTGAAGTGGGAAGCTTCTAATTAGAAGAGAGAAGAAAGCACAGCAGCAGTCATTCACTTGTGCTCAGAGAGGCAGTTATAGACTGTAGACTAAAACTTTGAAAAACAACTAAAATCCTTACATATTTCTCCCTGCTCTTGATCTAGTATTTTGAGAATAATTTCCCTGCCCTGAAAACTACAATGGGTGATTTATGGCTTAATATTGTCCAGAGACATGCCAAAATGCTAATTTTCATACAAAGATCCTTTAAGCCTATCAAGACGCTCAAGACAACGGACATACAGACTGCTATATCTGCAAAGCAGATATATCAAAAAGGTCCCACAGAGTATTTCTTATCCAAAATGTTTCATAGGTGCACAACATAAATTATTACTTTGAGAAAAAAGAAAAAAAACAGGCCACAGACATACTTCTGCAGTTACTCTGAATTCCTTTGCAACTTTGGCTAAATGTACTTTTGTATTTTTATACAGGAACAGTAACTAAAAAAAACCCCAAAAACAAAAGTTCCTATATAATAATTTTCACTTTTCCTTGAACTTCTGCCCTGGCAATCCTTGCAGAGTGTGTTTTGTCTGGCAAAACACAAAGCAGTTATAAAATGCTGAAACACACTGAACATGAATGATTTTTAATGCAGGTTCTAAATCTCTTTATGCACATTCATTATTTAGGAGACAAACCATTACGTGTGAAATGAACCTAGATATATATTTTTCACTGAATGTAAAACAAAATAAAACAAGCTTTCCTCTTAGAAACATTTAACTTTTCAAATGTTAGGAAACATTTCTTAAGATTTCCTTGTGAAGATATCCCAAAATCTGAAGTAAAAACGAAAAACATGTATTCTTTATGCCTGCCTGTTCAACCCTGGACAAAATTCTAAAGGAGCAGAAACTTGCATGAAGTTAAAAAGGTTCACTTTCAACAAAAACACAGAAGTAGAACCTAACTTGAAGAGTCCATCCAAATCCATCATCATAGAAGACAATGCAAAAAACCCATTTGGTTAAAAATCATCTGACAGATAAGACTATCTGTAATGAAAAATTTCAGTTACTCAGCTTTTAGAAAACAGTATGATAGGATATACGTCTTTCAGACCCTTTTTTATTCTAAAGGTGGCAAAGAAATGATTATTGTAAGCAAAAACTGCTGGAGAATATTTGTGTGAAATGCAATTTAGGAAACGCCCACCTTAACATGGTGGAACTCATGACTGTGAGGAAAGGAAAAGAACGAGCAGCTAAATAAGGGCAACATATTTCAAAAAAAACAGATCAAAAAGCTTAGGAAATCATTTGCTATTTTCTCTTAGTAAGACACTCTGAGAGAGAAAGGCTTTAAGGGGGCAGGCAGTTAATGAAAGATACTGTAAAGAAGGTGAAATGACAAACTACTCCTCATGAAAAAAGACAGTAACCTAGTAAGAGCTCAGAAGGTCTGGTTCAAGAGTTCTTTGATAATTTGAAAATCAGAATACAGTTGTGCAAGCAAGTAGAACAGAAAGACAAATTCCTAAGGGTGGGCATATAGGAATACCACAAGCAGACACGGATAAAATTAGACATAAAGATTAAAAGAGTTACAAGTAGCAAGGATCATTAAAAAAAAAAAAAAACAGATGGAAATATTCTGTAAAGACACTGGAAATAAAAAGAAGTCAAAATCAAAAATCCATTAATAACGAGGGTGGAGTGCAAATGGCACAGAATCAATGCCTCTTTTGTTGCAAATTTCACAAATAGTGATTAGATGCTTACAAAAATCAATTTTAATGAAGGAGTAGGAATGGAGGCCAGACTAGGTGAAAAACAGCTTAAAGATACTGAGTAAGTTAAGTGTTTTCAAGCTGTCAAGGCCTAACAACATTCCACAAGTACTGTTAGAACTGGAAGTGCTCTCCAAAGCTTTAACAGCCACCTTCAAGAACGCATGGACCTCCCAGAGAACTTCAGTGGGGCAAACTAGGGACCTATTTTTTTAAAAGGGGGGAAACTAAGAAGATCTAAAGATCAGTGAGCTACATTTCAACACTCATAAGATAGCAACTGAAAAAACTAGGGATGATAAAGTGATGAAAAGTATTGAGCGTGGACTTGTCAAGAAAGAAATCCTACAAAATGACTCAAATTTTTGACAGGGTTTCCTGTTGGACAGGGGATGAGTATTGAGTATGATGTAGTTTGACGCTAATAAGGCTTTTAACACAGAAGAAAAAATCCTTTGCCCTGGAACTTTTAAGGTTAGACAAACATTGGACAAGGATTATCTAGATAAACTCCCATCTGAAAGCAGGGGTGGACAGACTAGACGATGCAGTGAAAACTCTAGTCCCCAGTGATTTCTATGACATTAAATCTTTTTGCCTCACCAGGGACAGAATGCTTCTCTACTAATGAACAGGTTAGTCATGAACAAGCTAGTTAACAAGTGTAGTGACTAAAGGGTTGATACTGGGTCCATACTGTTCAGTATCTTCATAAATGCAGTAGAGGATGTGATGGAGCACAGCCTAAGAAAATCTGTGAATGATACTAAATTTAGTGGGAGAAGATGGAGGGGGGTAGCTGACATAGCAAATGGTAGAATTTCAATCCAGAGAGACCTTGAGAAACTTTAGACTTGGCCAACAGAAACTTCATGAAGTGCGAAGTTCCCTATCCAGAGTGATAGCCCAAGCATCAGGCTGATAAATTATTGCCTGAATAGTAGCACTGCTAGGAAGGCCTGAGAGTTGCACTCAATGCTGAGGCGACTATGAACCAACAGTGTGCTCTCATCATGAACATGGCACACTATATGCTAGCTTACAGTAGCAGAAGAATGGCCAGCTGATCAAGGGAAGTTGTTATCCCTCCCTGAAATAACAAGGCCAAGTAACTTGGAATTCCAAGTAACCTGGAATACTGTCTCCAGTTTTGGGCCCTCTGGTTCAAGAGGAACATTGGCAAATTGAAGAGGAATCAGTGGACGGTACCAAGGTTGTCCAGGGTCAACAGCAGACAAACTATGAGAATGAGGATGCTAAGAAATGACCTAATTCTAGACTACAACTACTTGAAGGGTTCGAGTTGCAAAGATGCCAAAGCCAAACTCTTCTTGGTAGTGGTGATATAACTATTAGAGGTTGCTGAAGCCAGTAGCCTGATGGATTAGAGGTTGCTACGGCTTTGTGATCCCAAGTCCAGGCAGAGGCAAGATGAACATATAGGCCCTGTAGGCACATACATACACCATACATATACACACACGGGGACAGCCACACAGACCAACAAACAGAATACAGTGATTTTACTAATATCTATATAAATCCACACAGGGTTCACACAAACATGAATGGCATGGACAGCCTGTTCCTGCTCCTCCTCTCCAGCTGATCAGGATTGAAGCTTGCTGACAAAATCTATACATACATATTTACATATACACATACACAATTATGAATCACTCCAGTAGCTGGCCTTAGACACTCAGTCTATCCAGTAGCCAGCTTCAAATCCTCTGGTCTCCTAGCTGCTGGCACTTGGATGTGAGTCCTGGAGGTTTGCAGTCCCCCTCCAGTTGCTAGTAGACACCTCTTGTAATACTCACCAACTGGTCCAGTTTGAAGTTTGCTAGTATTCACATACACATCCACTTAGAAAAGAGAGCACACCCACACACAAGACAGAAATGGGTTTTAGTGAGAATTTAAGATAGACTGCTTTGACCAAGCACAGGGGTCAGTCAGACGAATGTACTGACCAACCACCTGTTTACAATTCAACCCTATATCCCCTTTTCCCTCTATTCTCCCATGCTTGTTCCTCCCTGCTACACCTTGATCCCTCCCTTACCCTGCCTTTGGTCCTTCCTTAGTTAAGTTGCACACATTCCCAGAGTTTCCTTAAAAACATCCCATAATAAGCTTTAAACAATTCCCAAATGCTCTTCCCCCTGCACCCCACAGTGAGTTCTGTACCCACGTAGGCAATACTTCAGGTCTGGCAAGGAGTTCTTGGGAATTTCTTTGGTTGATGCATCTTAGTGGGTTTCACACCAGGGATAATGGTCTAATCACTCTCCTTTGATACTCTTAGGAGGAGCCAATTCTGTGTACTCCTGTCTTCACTGATTAGGTTAATTAGGGTTCTTCTGCCTATCACTGCTCATCTGATCCTGATCAGGCCTTTGTCTTTCGTGTAACTGATTACATAACCTAAGGATAACATGATGCAATGGCCACAAATTGTAACTTAGGAGGTTCAAATTGGACGTTAGGGAAAGCTTGTTCACCAGGAGCAGTGCAGCACTGGAACAGGTTTCCCAGAGGGACTGCGGAAGCTTCCATGCTTGGAGGTTTTTAAGATTGGCTAGACAAGCCATGACGGATCACTTGGTGATAATCCTGCTCAGAGTGAGGCTGAATTAGAGACCTCCAAAAGTCCCTTGCAATCAACGTTTCCATGATTCCATAATCAACTGTCTGGACTTCAGATATCGTAAATCTTAAAGTATCTAGAATTACAGGTTTGATCCAGATTTGGCATATTGCAAAATATGATTCAGACTCAGAGTCATATTTTAAATACTACAGATCTGGATATCAATCCACTTTTGTTCAGGCTTGTTTCTACTACGAAAAGACATTTAGTAAACTGAGTAAGATAAAAATCCTTTCCATGTCAATGCACCAGTTTTACTTCAAGTATCTAGAGAAACTGATCAAAAACAAATAGCAAAACCAATTAGTTATTCGGCAAGTACCAGCACAAATATTTCATTCAACTAACAATTTCAGTTGAATTGCTAAAGAACCCAAGATTTTTATGATTTGCTAATTTTTAATTTGATTTGAATCAATTAACTAATGTTTAAACACTGTAGTCTGGACTTGCAATATAGGAGTCTAAAAATGATTTTATCATCTGGGACAAGAAGCAGCTGGGAGCATTGTCATGGCAACGATCTCAGCTTTAAAGAGAAATTCTGTAATTTCTATTGCTCTCCAGCAACCTCACAACTGAAGTGTCATTGCTAAGAAAACCATGAAAAAGGAAAAGCTTCTCATACAGAGAAATATACCATCCCAAGAAACGCTTGGAAAGATCATTAAAAGAATGATTTCAGGAGGTAAGGCATGCTTTAAATAAACAAATGAAATTATCAGTTTGATGATGAGCCCCAGAAAAAAAAGCGTGTCAGACACATACATACATATGTACACACATGTAGGTGTGCATACATACATATGTACACACATGTAGGTGTGTGTTGAACTTTGTTTCCTGTCATGCTAAAATGTGTCTGTGCAGCTGAGCAACCTGTGTATTAAAGGTGTGCAACCTTTAATACCTCTCCAACACACTATTCCTGAAAATTAACCTATGTATTTTAGAAATTCAGGGAAACGCATGCACAGAATCAGTCTCTCTTGGAACGGATGATTATCACAAATCTCACTGTCTCCCACTCCAACCCCATGATTTAGTTTCTTGACCCTGTTGTTCATAAATGGACAGCAATGTGAATAATATTCAGGAATGCACAGCGTGGGAGGGGAAGAGCACCTACTAAAAAGCTAAAGAGAGATTTCCCTGGCCACATCTTCCCCCCCCAGGAGGCATGTTGAGAGAACTACCATGTCACAAGTACTAGTCAGATTGCTCAATGACTACTGAAAGATATTGAGGAACTGTGGTGCTAACATGCTCTAAGGACCTATATAGAATAGATAACCTTTAACACCTCTCTAACACACTGATCCTGAAAATGAACCTATATATTTTAGAAATTCAGGGAAATGCATACACAGATCACAGGGCTATGGTTTAAGCTCTCATTTATTTATCTTCACTTCAGTTTGGTTAGCTTAGTGACTTGGGTCAGAGCAGTCCTTTCCTGACTACCATATTTTAAGTATTTCCTGGTTATGGCACACTTGTGTCATCTAGACAGTCACTCAGAGCAGACAATCTGAAAGTGTTGCAGCTGTAAAAAGACCATACACATATGAATCAATAGTACATTTCTACAACGTAGACTAGGAGTTTTTCATGATCTAGTATCCTCAAGTGGATAGTCATAATGCTCTGTTCAACAGCTAAGACTAACGTAGGTTTCATTGGCTGGAGAAAGAAAACTAAAAGCCTTTCAAAAGTAACACTGCATAGCACAGTAAGATCCTCAGATGTGTTTACATATTTTTTCCACATATATTTAAATACACTGACAGTAAAAGTATGCAAATGCAAGGTATATGTAAAGTATTAAAAATACATGAAGAAAGAGTAGGCAATGTAAGCACCAGTTAAAGAAAAACAACAACAGTGCTTAAATCAAGCCAGAAATTAGTTTTTAAAACAGTAATTGTTTCCTATAAGCAGCGCATTTGCGAATGCACAAGTTTATCTGGTTTTAAAAAAAAAAAAAAAAAAAAAAGGCTGACAAAGTACAAACAACACACAAAAGGTTAAAAAAAGGCTAGCAAAGTACTGCAAAACTATAAGGGCGCTTAATGAGTTCCAAAGGGTAAAATAGCTATAAAGTAAGGAGGACAGCCTGCAGACTTTTTGTAACACAGATTTAAGATTGAAAGAGGCAGAATTCTTCAGGTGTGTTTCTTTCCTGTGTTATGCTCATAAAGGTGGGCTGAAAGCAGCAGATGACTTTCAGTGTTAGGTACATGGGCCTTAAGTTGACATTTTTCATAAGTAGCTATCCAGGCCCTCTGGACATTTTCTTCAATTCTTTTCAAAGCAAAAAGTATAACCAAGGCATTTTGTTAAACTATCATATCGTCAGTGAATTGTGGCTATTTCTATACAATTTTTCTCTCCTCACAGTACACTTAAATGGTTTGAAAAAAAAAATCTATGATAAAATCAGCCTCAAACACATTACAAAGAAAAACACTGTAATCTGATCAGATTTTTCCAGGACAAATGATCTCTCCACCATTAGCAGGCTACCTGGTGATAAAAATAATTGGTTGCTACCACTGAAACGCTCGAAAGCACAAGTGACATACATAATTATTTCTGCCACCACCAGCTGAATGGAATTTGTTACAGCAATTTCAACAAGCCCCTTGTAATTTTTGTAAGGATGAAGGGCAAACACAGGTGAAAAAACTCTGTGTAAATACCACGTGTAGAAAAACAGTAAGAAGGAAAAAAAAGAAATATCAACATTGCAATTCAAATGCAAAAACTATCACAGGACTACAAAATGAGGTTTCTCAGAGCCCATACTAACTGTCTATAGATTGATATCTTGGGGACCCTTCTGAAGCTACAGGTAGGAATATTATTTTCATGAAAGGAACATCTGGATCCTTTAATCACATACCTGGTAAGAATATTATCATCCAGTTTTCTGCATTTTCTCCACACTTTTGGTAACTATGATGATTGATGCTGCATTTATTCTGCTACAAGCCTTTCAGCAACTGCTCCTCCTCTCATCTGAGTTCCTCCTCTTTGTAAGAGATGATATTTACCACTGCAAGAATAGAATCCCATTAGGAGGCTTCTTCCTAATCTCCAACTTCTTTAGATATTCCTTCTCCTCAGGGTGTTTCACTATCATATTAAAAAAATTAGGTCTTTAGTAAAGCAGCTCATCTATTCGCAGCCTACCAAGCTGAAACAATTTTAGCATTATTTAGAAAAGATTTTAGGACTGTTGAGAAAACAAACTGGTAGGAAAAGAAATACTCCTCCTTGCTCCCAAAAAATTAGTAGCAACGTTCACAGAAGACTCCCCAGTCTAATTCTACTCTAATCCCAGGAATGGGAAGTATTTTTGAGTATTTAACAGGATTCTCTTTGCATCCGAACAGTAAAGAGTGCTCCTCTCCTCTGCAGATGAACCTATGAGCCTGAGTGTCTAATTCTCCCATCCTAAACTCACAAGAAAATGCTACTCCTGTGCATAGTGCAGAGCAAAAAGGTCCTTAAAAGAATCCAGAGAACTTCTGAGGAGAACATTCCAGTATTTTCAACTGAAAATACTCCTTTAAAGTGTTACTTTTTCTGCCTGTTTTCCAATGAGTTTCATCACCTCTTATATTACTTTTTGATGTTTGTATTCATAGATCACACTATTCAGCTTTAAAGAACCAGTTCAAAGTCCTGTTTTAGTCAAAAACTGCCAGGAAAGGTTTCCTCTGTGGCATATTCATCATTTGCCCTTGACTGAATGACAGTCTTTAATTCTTATTCCTGTCAGCCATGCAGAACCAAACACCTAATAAAAATGAGCTCAACTGTAATCTTTTTGTGCATCATCAATAAAATAGATACCTAGCTAAGTACCAGTTGCACAGAAAATTGTATTGTCATTACATCCTCATGATCTTATTGGAAGCAAAGCCATTGCACAAGGATCACTGCCAGCATAATTTGGAAGAATAATAGTATAGTTTTTAAAGAAAGCATTTTTTTTTCCTGAAATATCCCAAGTATTTATGATGGCAGAGGACTTATAATCCTTCATGGGTTTTGGAACAACAGAAATTGGGGGGGAAAGACCCAACAACTCCTTTTACCTGTGACTTCAACAAGCCTGCACTAACTTAACCTGAAAACAGAGTGAAACTCAATGCTATTTCAACAGATAATTCTGTGAATAAAACCTCCTAGAACGTTACCTTCTTTTTATGATCAGAATCATCAGATTTTATACATAGTAATAAGTTCAAAATACTCATTAAGATCTAACGGCCTGTCTTTACAGACTCTGAAATGATTAAAACAGTAAGAATTTTGAAATTCTATTTTTTCACAATTGATACTTCTTGTTTTTTAGGACTTAAAGCATGATAATGTGTTTTGTATTTGATTAGTCCATTTGCAGACATTCACACAGAATGAAGCCTGCACTAATAGTGGTGGGAAGATGGATTGCAAATACAGGGATAGACTGTGCTATTTAGGGAAGAGCTAAATGGCCACTCAATTTTTGCTAAGTGAACTGAGGAAAACAGACAGATGAGCCCTATCTCTTGAATGGTATAGCAATCTTATCCTTCATCCAGCTACAAGGTGTTCCAGGTCACTGCCTTCTCTTCATTCACTTGAGTAGAAAAGTCTGTACTTTCCTAAAAGCAGGGACAACAGTTCTGACGTATGGCCACATGCAAGTCATGAAGTGGCCAAACTTCCTCCTTTGCACTGGTCCCATCACTTATCCATATACGTTGGCACTATGGACAAAGTTATAAATTATTTCTGCAAGTCTTAATATACAGCTCAAATCTGCCATGACAGTAACCCTTTACATCCCTTCTGTTTTTCTCATGTCCTTACATTATCTTAGGGGCCTTTCTCCAAATTTTCCAGTTTCCAACACTCTATTACTTCAAATATTTTATAAGTGAATTTTATATAGCAATTTTATAAATGAAACACTGCCAGAGAATTTTCCTGGACACGAGAATCTGCTAGGTTTTGTGAAATAATCTCTGATGTCCTTTTGGAATATGCCAAATAGCACCCCTCTTCCTCCACCCCCAGCAGTTCCTGTTTATGGCTGGGAAGTTAGCATGGGCCAGAAACCACTCCTGGGAAGCAGTCTCTATACACGCTCTGTTTTGGAGACTACAGCATACAGAGGGTTTGTTCCACACTAGTTGGCCTCAGTGTCAAGAACTCCCTGCAGAGTAACTAGCCTATGGACATACAGAGCACAATTAAACATATCAAGTGCGATCCTCCTAATGTCCTATTGCCTCTTTATGCACAAGAATTTCTTATGTCTTCCCAAAACGTGCATATGTATTTTTTCCATTTTTCAACATACTTTCTACAGTAAATTTCCTTTTCCATTGATGTGAAGTTCAAAGTATAAAGTTCTTTCTCTATTCCTTAACTGTCAACTGTAGATATAACTACTTCTAAATCTGTATTCTCCTTCAGTTCTTTAACCAATAGAATAGTCATAATAAATGTCCTTGGTAGGCCCATCCTGACATATTAGAATCAAAAACAGGTATTTATATTTCATACTGGTTATTTTCCTATGGAAAAAAACTTTCAAATGAAAAAATACCATAGAAATACAGATTTACTATCTACAAACTATGAAGATTACAGTCAGACATGAGGTCTTAAATATTCAAAAATGAAATCCTTTTAGTACCTTAAAATACTGCTATTACTGTTATCTTGTAAAAATAGTGAACTCCAGTCCTTCTCTCAAACTGTAAAAACCACCCTTGCTCGCTTTCAGTTTGTGTGGAATTTAAATCTCCTCCCTTATTACAGACTAGACTGAATCAGAATAAACAACCTCCCAAATTTTTCTGACTTGTACCCAGAAGACATCCTTAAAATATACTTGCTGTAGAATCACAAGCTCTGAAATTATGACCTAATTAAATTTTGTCAGATCAGAACCTGATGTCGTTTGAAGCGCTAAGTATAGTTACTTTAGCAAATATATTTAAGCTGAAATTATTAATTAACTTTCTGAAAAAGTAAGATTTCACCATCTTACATATATTTTATAAATTATGTCTACATGCTCTTAGGAGTGGATGGGTGCATATTTTATGACTCAGGATTTGTAAACAAAAAAAAAAAGGAATATTGACTTCAAATCTAGGCAATTTAAAAAAATTTCAGTATTGCAAGTAGCCCTGACTCTACCAGCACATTTATGTGGTTTTTATAACCACACTTAGGCATTTTTGAAATATCTTTCTCTCCTCCATTACTGTAAGAAAGCAAACTAAATCCATTATACAAAAGAAGCAGAGAAACCAACTATAAAATGCTCTGTAAAATGAAAAAAATCAAGCCCATCAAAACAACCCAACAGCCCTTCACTAATTTTCACAGTTAGAATAATTGCAGGTATTACTTGGTTAACAATTTTCACACAGGACTGGAACTTACATAGACAGATTTCCAAATACAAAGGACAGCAATCAAACATTAAAACAGTGTGAAAAAGCCTTCCAATTTTGTTTGCCTTTCCAATCTTGTTTGCCTTCCAATTGATACAGGGACCACTGGACATCACCTGAGATAATCATAGATTTTAACAGCTGCTGACCACATGCAGTATTTATGCAATTATAGGACCATTAACACCCAGGTGGAGACATTTAAATGGATCTTAGCGATTTGGTACACTGTCCACTAAACTGATGAAGAACAGGTATATAAATTGCCTAGACTGCTTTGCAAATCTTGACCTGTGGCTACTCAAAAGGTTGCTTTAATAAATAAAGATCTATATATAAATGTTTATTAAAAATGCTCTTTAAGAAAACTACTTACTGGACATTCTTCAGTAAGCTTATAGCTGTACTATTTGCATACCTGATATTCATTACTAAATTCATCTTTACAATACTTGAGACAAGCTACTCGTACTTCATCGCCATGAAATTGAAACAGAAATCTTAAACGATGTACTTCAAGCCTGGCAATTGCATTACAACCTAAAACACTTGATTCTGGAATTTAAGTCCTCTTCATAAATACAAATCTTAACCACAAACTGGCCTTTCTCTTTGAAACAACAGGATTCAATTTTAGCAGATATACACACCCATTTACAGAACTATTAGCACCCCCATTTCATAAAAAAAGATAAAAGAGCACCAACAAATATTTTCGTTGTTTAAAACAGTGATGTCAAATATATATACAACAGTATTAAATTTCTTCCTTGCATTTGAAGACTGGAAACATCTTTGATGAAGTCATTGATAAAATTATTTCAAATTGTTCAAAACACCTCTGATAACGAGTGTCCAGGCCATCTGATATAAATGATAGCTGAAACAGCCTTCAGCATGATGTAAGTCTCCTTTCTCTTCCACACAGCCTGTTAGAAACTCATTCAGAGTTGCCCACTCATTCAGAACATGGCTAAATGAGCTCTTAGGCTACAATTCCTCAAGAGGCAGTGAGCTGATTTAACGACTGACTCACTCACTGCCATAAACACAGGAGGGTGCCTTGCTTCTGACTGCATGTCTCTGGTGCTTACCTTCTGCTGGCTCTGACACTTGTTTGATCCTTCTGTGAGCTCATTTAACTCACTAAAACATAACAAAAATCCAACAAAAAGATGGAATATTTTCTCTTAAGTCAATGCCATGGCAAGGTCTGAAAAGTGCCAGAGCTTGCATGCAGGAGGCAGCAGGATTATGCAGTTCAAGCTGGGGGAAGCAAGTCCTCCTCCTTTTGGCAATAAGGAAGTCAGCTTGTCTATATTTGAAACCACAATGTAAGTACGATCTATGGTCCAAGCAGTTTCTGTACACCTTTAACGTCTATTTTAAGGGATCAGCTGCTTCAATTTATCTTCAGTCGTGCGTCCTCCCAAGCAGCCTGGGTAAAGGCAGCTATGGTTTCTGGGATACCAGAGTGAGAAGTCACCTCTGACACAGCAGAAAGACTACTAAAAAAATATGAGTAAATAAGGACAAGAAAATAAAAACAAACTACAGCAAATATGTTTACTTTCCCAAAAAGGCAACTTTGTGTTATACTACGAATAATTACAATAGGAAAGCTTTACGGGCAGATGCACAACAGCTATCAAATAAACTTTGCCAAGTGGCTTTTATGATCGCCCAAGGCAACATGTTACAGTAGGCTGAACCGTAAATGACCAAGGCACTCTGGCTAGAACTTCTTCTCTCACTTGACACAGATTCCAGCTCTGAATTAGAAAAAGTTGGTATCAACATAACTTGCACTAGGTTTAAAAGCAGACCAGTATGGCTTCTACATACCACTTTCTCACAGAGGGGCCTCAAAAGGAGAGAAAGAATGTGCAAGATTGAGGAAATAATGCTAGGTAACAGGATTCTGAGTAGTTCAGATAACATATTTTGGGAGGTGGGTGGAGTTTTCTTTGGGAGTGAGGGGGAGTGGTATACACTGCTTCTGATTCTGACATGCAAAGAAATTGATTGAATGCTGATACACCAGTCACAGAAAAAAAATTGTTGAATAATTCCATATGTTCCTTCCAAAGTTTTATTAGGATCTTCACAATTTCTGCTGTTTTTTTTAAATCTAACTTTTAACATGAAAATTTCACTTTTCCATTGTCCGAATTCTACATTCTCCCTTAAAGACAGTCAAGGCATCGAATAGACGCAATGAAAGAAAGCAGATACACTGCTGGTCTGAACTTCACAACAAGGAAAAATTTGTCAATATGATTATTGAACAAAGTGTGATTAAAATAAGAAGCTAATACAACTTAATTGTCATACGACTTACTGTTAAAGAAAAGTAACTCAGAGCCTGTACTTCCCAGGACACAGCACACTAACAAAGCTAACTGCTCTATCTTCAAAGAGGCGCTCCCTGTTTTTCCTATGAATTCTTCAGTAAGGTGCTGTTAAAAGAGGTGGTTTGCAGTATCAAATCCCAGCTTTTTACAAAGGCAATGCAACTTTGGTTAAACACTCATTTCAGTATTCTCTAGCAAGAATATGTGAATATCCTCTTGTCTCTATCAGGTATCTTTTATTTAAAATACAAAGCAAAACAAAAACCCCACCTAACCAAAAACAACCCCAACAACATAAAGTTTACTTTGAAAGGACTGAAACCTTTGCTTGCCCAAAACACAGTGTTAGTTTATTGCTCCTTTGATATCTTAAATGTTAACTTCATTATATGAACAATTCTTTTGCAGGTTTTTATGTTTTACAGCACGTTCCGAGGCTGTAACTAAGATGACTATAAATTGTCTTGGAACATGTAAGCATTCAAAAACCTCAAAACAAATATGCACATAAGAGTTGATTTTGCTTCAGGTATGTTTTAGATCAGTGTTGTATACCATCTTTAGAATCAGAGGAACATTACCCATATTGCCTGGATACCATTACCTAAGAAGTTGGCAACCATAAAAATGCAAAATGACAGCATGAATACCATTACAAATGTCTGTTTTGGAATGAAATAATTCTTTATGCTAAAAAACAATTTACAGACAGTTGCTAATGGGGGTTGGAGATACTGCTGTCATTTTAATTTACAGTGTTCCAGTGTACTGGAAAATAATCAGTTCTTCAGCTCCTTCTGAATTTAAGACTAGGTAGCTCGAAAGATAAACACAGGCGTGGTCAAAAAAAGAACAAAGTATTGCCAGTGACTTAGCATATGTTGAGCTTACCATATACTTTGTAGCATAATTTTAAAAGCTGAGTGGGATTTACCTTGCTACACACTTAGGTTTCTTTTATTTTTTAAAACTTCTGTCCTGTATTTGGCCTCAAATCACAGCACCAGCAAGATTAACGCACAGCACAAAAAAGCCAGTATGAAACAAGTGCTGAAGAAGTGATACATGTGATTTAGAACGGAAGGATTTAAGATAAACATTCATCATGTTATATAGATACCTTGGCTTCATATTAAACTTGACAGAGTTTAAAAGACATTCTGAAGGATGGTTTCCTTTCTTCCTCTGAAAGTGTTTGGCAGAAACTACATCAGAAAAATACTAGGTAGTAAAATGGAGTGGAAAGTTCTTGACCTAAAGTGTACAGGCAGCAAATAACATAAAATAAAATGATTCCATATAAAACACATATGACAAGCTCACAAAGCAAATTCCTTTCTCAGTAAACCCATCATTCAATTTTGGAAGAACTTGTTCATTTCAGAACTCAGAGAGAAAATATTAAAAAAATATTAAAGCCATCTTTAAAAGCAAACTCAATTCCCATTATCTTTGAAAGAATATCTTTATGTATTCTCATCATTAAGACATTCATTACTGTTTAGCATATCATATAATTTATATCATTCTCTACAGAGAAATTCAGTATCATCAGTAACTTTACACAGATACAGTATTGAAGCCATGTCCTCTTTTGCTTACTGTCAAGTACAAAACTGCTTAAATAGACTAAAAAGCTACACACAAGTGTTGTAGCATTCCATTTTCATGCCTGATTGAAGTTTACAGTAGTGGCTTTTTGATCTTTCAAGACAAATAAACATGATACCACATAACAAACAGTTGTGCAAACTCAGGCCTAGGATGAAGATATAACTACCTCCTTTTTCCAGCACCACTTTTCCCTGCTTTACTGCTGCTACCACCAGACTTGCTGGAAGATTTTGAAGAGAAAAGTCTTGTCATGAATTCAGAGACATCCGGCAGCTCATGGTTGGAATTCAGCATGTTCATTGACTGCTCCATTTCCTGCATGCAAAGATTAGTTAAACTCAAAAAGAGCTCAAGACAGTTCAGGCTGTTTCTGAGGCTTCAGTTGAAAGATCATATCAGGAAGATGTGAAATTTTCCCAAACACCATTTTACTGTTAGTAGTCTTCCAAATATATATTGCTATACACATTTTTATGCAACCACAGCCAAATGCCCAACTACACCCAGAAACAAAAACCAGAAGCTAAAAGCACTGGTGTATGGAGAAAGGTAACCATGTCTTAAGCAGCCTTACAGGGCAAACAAACTAATAGGAAGGAAAAAAAAAACCTCATCATGACAGTTGTACTGTCATCTTGCTTTTCTAGTTACCATTCAGAATGGTCTGGTATTGATACAGCTTAAACTGTGTTCAAGATACAAATTAAACAAAAGCTGTAATGGTAGCCTTCTGTTACAGTTACATCTATACTTAAGTATTTCTACAATAAGCACAGTTACTAAATCACAGACTTCCTATATAAACAAGTACTGTGCTGATTACCTAAACAAAAGAAAAAGCTTACATGAAAAATACACTACAATCTCCAGACCCTTTACAAGTAAACTGAATTTGGACATACACTTCAGCATTTAATACATGGCCATCATGACACGATATGGACATGACGACACGAATGTCATTATAACTGAGCTTTTAAAAAGTATCTTCTGACATTCCTTAAAGATTAAATTACAAGCAAGATTCTTTCAATTAAAATTTCTCCTTAACAAGTCATATTAGTTAGCTAATAAGAACATGAGAGCAGCCTGTCTGTATGCAGGGACAGATGAGTCAATATACCAATAAATAATTGTTTTTTAACATTCAACTTCCAAAGTTCACCTTAGTTTGAAGAACATTGCACAGTTACCTAGTATACTGTCACACTCTGTTTTTATAGAAATTGAAACCAAAAGAGGCACTACATAGCTCTGATATGCTTTTTATAGGTATTACTTTAAAAAAAAAAAAAAAAAGTTCAGACACCTATAAAGTACTACTGAAGACAGTGGTCATTCAGAGGAAAAGGAATTTAAATGAACCAAACCCCCAAAAAGAAGCCACCCAAGACAGACAAGGAAGAGCTCTAAAAATAAGAGAAGATTTAGCAAACACCTTGAATCTCCACTTTGTCCTAGCCTTCTGCTATTCGGCATTTTGCATGGTGGAAGGACAATAAATTAGATCATTTAATGACTATATTAAGACTTCATATCATATACACTACTGCAACATGTGGAGTTAACAAACTTTTAAACTATGCTTTTTTGGTTAAGAGACCACACATCCTATTCTTTGTAACACACTCAACACATTTATTCATTTTTAAAAATGAAGTACTAGATTTAAACAAAATACAGAATATTGGAGATTTACAGGAAAACTAGCCTTTGAGAAATGTACTGCTGTATTAAAGCTTCATAAAACATCCTTCATGCTATAATGCTTTCAAAGCTGTGTCAAACGATTTCATTCTGTGTTATGCCATAAGTACAAATCCACAGATCTGAAACACCACAATTCATTACTAGAACAGCAACACTGTACAAACTGAATGAATAACACCATTAGGACTTCCTCAGAAGTCTAATTCTGGCTTGTATTGCCTTTCTCTATCTTTTCAGTACATTACTCTCGTTCACCATGTTTGCATCAGCTGAATCTACTTACCCGTCTCATGTCAGGATCACTGGTGTTGACAACTTTAGGCAACAGCACAAATATCAGTAACGGAAGAACCATCATCATCACCTACAAAGAAAAGAACAGGAAATATTTCTTCAGCTTAGTTATTGCTGAAAATATTTTCAGCAATACTGACATTAAGTTTTTAGCTAAATAGCCAAATTCTAGAATTATTGCAATCTGGTTCAGTAATCCAGTTGTTGGGAAAGAAATCAGATAAGGAAGAATTAAATTATAAATAAGGGATGTGAAAGTTGGACCATCAAAGTAAATACTTGCTAATTCTTTTAACCCTTATGATTACAAGCTTGCGAAGCGTTGATCTCCACACTACTAGAACAAGTATCATGTCACAAAAGGTAGCAGACTATGGGCTATTTTCAGAGGACATGCATTAACGGAATGGGTATTTAGGGATGAAGAAGTCACAGAAAAACTTTGTATTTATAAACAGGGCTAAAAGAAAGAAACAATCATCTCAGAAGAGCATTACTTCCTAATTTCTATCAGCTTTACTCCAGAAAAAAATAGTCAGAGAAATCCCAGGAAACTGTAAACACCATTTGTACTTCTACTGCTGAAATGACAAGTGAACTTCATTTTCTTGAAAAAGTTGTGCTTTTCCAGTATAGTTAAAGAAAAAAAAAAATCAAAAAATATCACAGCGGTAGATGTTTTAACTACATGGTAAACATACAAATCATTACAGGAATGATAACATAACTAAGAATTCCTTGCTTAAAAGTTTAGAAATCATACTGCATGCTAAAGGATTCGGTTCTCATACTTAAAAGAAGCATAAAATTTAGAAAAGTGAAGCAGATTCCTGATACTCTGGAAAGGACATTAATTTCCCATTTGCCACTTTTTGAATAAGAATGAAAATACTTCCAGATCTAACTGATTTAGATGACAGCAATTTCCTTAGCCATGAGCATGGCAGTATCAGACGGGAGTTAAAAAAAAAAAAAAAAAACAAGCAAAAAGGCATCAGATGGTAGTAAAACCATCAACAGTAACTAGATGAGTATTTCCCAACTATCCCATTTTACTGAAATGAGTGAGCTGTATAGAATACTTAAGACACCTAAAATAATCCAGTTTGGACCAACTACTCTTCAAAAATACACATTTGTCGTTATTAATTCAGGCTATGGGAAGATGCTGCAAAGTAGAAAGTGCACTAGATCAGGGATGACCTTACCTTTGGTGTTTGAATAGTCTTCAAACAAACGCAGGTGCCATTGACCATATTTTGTTAAAGATGTTTAACACTACTATAAGAACATGATAGTACTCAGGAATCATACCAATTCTGCAATTCTACATGAGTTACAGGAGTTGTGTGGGGAAAGAGAGGACTGCTAAGCAATGAAAATGTTTCTTTTTCACCCCTTTCAGATACGACTCTAAGGCTCAGTTTTATCAAAAACAAACAGAAAAAAGTCCTTCTGTTGAGAGGATGATACTTTAAGCCTAGGTTGCATTCTCACTGTGCTGACTTGCTGCAATCACAAGAAGAACTTTTCAGCTACAAAATAAGCCTTAAATCACCTAAAGATTCCTCTCGTTGCAAGGATATTATCAAAAGTTATTTGCAAACAGTGCACATCTTTTCTCAACTACTTTATTCTCAATATTCTGAAGAACTGCTATGCTTGGATCCCTAGCATACTTTTCACCTTTGTGTGGTGCTTATACATACCATAGGGTTCATGAGGAAATCTGTCCACCCCCAAGATTCTCTCTTTATGAAGTATGAAGGCGGTCCAGAAGATTTCATCTGAAGCGGGTATGGCAGCCTGACAACTTCAGAAGTTTTGATGTAATTCACATACCTTGCTCTAATGAACAAAATGCAAGTAATTAAAAAAATCATTTACAATCTTCCCTTTAACAAAAAATAAAGATAATTCAATATTTTTCCAAATAAAGTTTTAATAATAAACTACAATTAAGCCACTAGGTGGCTAAGTGTCTGTTAGGCTTCACTTTTCAGAAGCAGCTCTCTCTCACTAACACACCTTATGTGATCCAAAAACACTCACTTTACCTTTTTTCCAGGCTATTATGCAAACTGTAAAATTTAATACGGGAAACAGAACAGCAGATCAAAAATGTTACACAGTTTTTTTGTAAGTGGCTTCTGCAAAAGGTTTCTTCTTATCTTTGTAATAAGCAAGAAAAGCTACACAATTTAAAGATTAGGTACAACTTTGAACCATGTAGTTGTATTACAAACTGCAGAGAGCTTGCTCAGAGGTAACAATCATTTATGTGTGAAGTTGATGTTGCCTTCTCCCTAAGTGCATCACCTTGCATTTATCAATACTGAATTTTGTTCACAATTTCAACATCCTTTCATTACCTTATAGTCTTTCCACAGTTCTTCACAGAAGAATTCACAAAGAATGCCTTTTCCTCTTACCTTCTAACTACATATTTTCTTCAAAAGCTTTTGAGATTTTCAAGTAGATTCTATCAACCACGTATCCATTATCCGCATGCTGTTGCGTCTTTCAAAGAATTCCAGCATTTCTTTTTTTAAGGCAGAACTTCCCTTTAGAAAAGTCAAGTTGATGTTTCCCCCACATATATCACATTTGTCCAGGTATCTCCCAATTGTACTCTTTACTATAGTTTCTCTCTGTCTAACTGGTAGAGATGTCAAGCCTACCAGTTTGTTGTTCTGTGGGCCTATCCTAGCAATCTACTTAAAACCTGCTGTCAAATTTGTTACCTGCAGTCCTCAGATATCATAGCAATTTTAAGAGAAAGGTTATACACAGTATCTTGGCTATATCATCACTGAGTTCCTTCCTTCTTTATTACAAAAAACATATCAGAGTCACCAATGAGATACTGCCTAATAAAGTATAAACTTAAGTTCATGAAGTTTGGGGGAAAAAAACAAGCAAAAAGTGCTATTATTATAGACAGACTGTTTACGCTGTTTTCAGTTCCAGATTTCAATTTTTAAGACCTCAAAACAATACCACTGCCATTTTTAAATTGACCTATTTCTAAAATGTAATAATATGTTTTATAAGAAACTGTAGACAATAAAGATGAAGTTAAGATATATGTGTACATTTACAAAGAAAAGTACAAGCAGGTTTATTTAAACTAACATCACCTGATTAAATAGGATGGTCATTTCTCTGTATTGCTTACTGAACAGTGTGCAGTTACATATATTTATATTGTTATCAGAACAACATACCTGGCCACAGCATACAAAAAACAGGCTAATGATGCTGCAGAAGTACCGCAGGCTGGCATCTACTGGCATTTGCTAGTATCTTTAAGAGGATTCTATGGAGGTGTAATGGAAGTATTTTAAAATTTAGGAACAAGCTAGGCCCTTCACTGTGCTAAGTAACGACCGAACATTTATCCAAAATGCAAGGAAAAAAGAAAATAAAAAGGTATGTCAAAAGATAAAGCAGTTCAATTGATCTATGCCTAGATTTTATTTTAGGGCAGTTGCATGAGAAGTTAACGTAAGTAAACAAACTGTAGAACCCTGTTTAATTCATCCATTTCCAGGTCATAAATATTTTAAGGTCATAAATAGGAGAGAAAAAAAGAAGTCATACTTTGAATTTTAAGAAATTTGTTCCTAGAAGCAACGTGAAAAGAAGCTGCAACGTACGGTCTGAAATGGAAGCATCATATCTATAGCAACTGTAATTTACCTATTATACTACATCATTGGGTGCACTTAATAGATCACTGTGGAAAAAAAAATCAGGGAAGGCTCACCTCATTTTGCCTTTTGAAGTTATGTCAACTCGAACTGGTTCAAATTTATGAGCAGGGGATATAACTTCCACTACATAAGATCCAGAAGGTATATCATGAACCACAAAACTTCCATCTGTCCTGCAAAAAATTAAGTTCCACTGCATTTCAATGTGCTCCTATGCACAAGGGTTTTTCTTTTTTTAGAAAAAATTATAATAGTACCATTTTGTATCATAAATCTTAATATAACAGCAATGACCAAAGGGAAGTTTAGTTCACTCAGCACTCATAATATCGAGCCCCTTAAGATCACCAACGTGTGCTACAGTAACAGCAGAAATTACCAGCTACATTTAAGATTTCCTCATGCACTCAAGCTATTGTCTTGTTGGAGGAATAATTCAGCAGTCTAAGTGAGATTTGAAACAGTTAGATTTCATATATTCAAATGATGGCAGAGTTGACTCATACCTTCCCTTTTCCTTCTGAAATAGGTACAATGAAGTTTACTTCACTTCAGTACTTCTGCTGGAACTAAAAAAAAATTTGAGATCCTATAATAATGTTGGTAGATATTAAAGATGATTTGCAAAGCACAAAAACTGTGCCTTGTGCCCTTACTGCAAAACAGAGATTTTCTGCTTTTAATTGTTTCCCTGTAGGACTAGGTCATGCTGGAAAGCTCTACAATGCTATCACAACAATAAGAAAACTAAAAGCTCTGAACGTACACACAGAATGGATCTTTAAACAGACCGCTTTTATTTTAAAATATGAAACTTCAATATTCAGTGAAAATATTATTGAAAGCATACTCGATTCAGCACCAGTTGCCATCAAATTAAAGTACAGAAGCTTGTAGGTTTCTTCCTACATTCTTCCAGAAGCTCCAGGAAGAAAAGTTTACTGTTTCTACCTTTCTAAAATTAATATGAAAGACTCTTCTCCTAAAAATAAGACTCAAAGTACAACCAAAAGCAGCTCTTCATAAGGAAAAAGAAGCAGTAAAATCTGCTCATTTTGGGGAAAATAAAAGAACCTCTTAAAAATAAATTTTGTCCTCATGATGTTAATGAAAATACTCTCCCTCACAGATGTACATCAGTTAAGGAACTTCCTGTAACTAAGAAGCATTTAAACAGCACTGTATATTGGGTTTCTCTAACATTTTGAGAGATGATTTGAATCCCCTGAAAAATACTCATAGTATCTTTTTTTGCAACTGCTTTAAGGATTTTTCCCTAAGAATTCGCTTTTTTCTTTCTAAAAAAAAAAAAGGAAATACTGATCATATTAATCTATATGATATTGACAAACTGTAATTATAACTTTTCTAAAGTTATTTATGTGAAAAATCCAATTCTCAATTCATATATTAGTATCCAACATTGCCATTTTTTCAGACTAGAAAAACGTTTAATTTTGATTAAAATGGGGAAACTAATCTGATTTATAAAAATGCTTGTCTTAGAGAATAGCTATCAAACTGCTTTAGAAGCAACTTTGCTGTGTTGAATAGTTATTTTTGATAAATGACATGGCATTCATTTAATAAATAAAGAAAATTTGCCCAAGAGATGGTGATAGGAGATGGTGACAAAGTAAATTTCCAATATATCAATAATGATTTATTGAACCCTGTCACTGCAACTGAAGGATCTTTCTCCTGAGCCTAAAAAAATCAGTATTATTTAATGAATAGAATTAGTAAATTGCTCTTTCTTCAGTTTTCCTTAAAAGTTTACTGCCATCCAGTTCTTTGCTGGTTACAAGTGGAAAAAGCCATTACAGAAAGTATTTTCACTAAAACATGCCATGCTCATGGTAGTGGAACATCTACAAATATATTTGAACTCATTTCTTGGCTTTCAGTTGTATCAACATAATTTCTTATGTCTATAGCTTGATGTATCTAATCAATATACCTTGGTAACTATGATACACTGTCATTAAATAAGGCATGCTTTTAGTTAAGACTGTCTCCTCATATTTCAGATAATTCTAGTTCTAAGTTAAGTATTTGGAAACTCACCACCTCCACAGTATTTATTACATCACTTCCCACGTACAGCATAAGGCTCCTTCAGCTTGCTTATACTGACTTATCAGGTGCTTTACTGACAACATTCTAAAAGTTTAGCAAGCATAACTTTTTTGTTAACCTATCAGACAACTCCCAGGGTCAAAATGCAGTTCAACTTTTACTACAGAGGGAATAATTCAAAGTGATTGGTAATTATGAGACAGTGTATCTTAATTCTGCTGAAAATCTGATTTTAATATAGTTTTGAAAGCAACATACTTCATTAAAAATCATAAAAAAGGATTTTAGAATTGACCTCTACTCTTGACACTGTGAGATTAATTCAACTCTTAATTCTGAGGACTTTTTCAATGTTTTAATATCTCTAGATCCTGAGCTACTCTGAATTACCCATTACCACCTAAGACTGAATGAGTTAGCGTGATGTTTTTATGGCTTCCAAATACACTTGCATCATCTTGTTTGAAAGAATAAAAGCATACTGCTTGAAAGAGCTTCTTCTGCTTGTAAAAACCAGCAGCAAATCTGTTTTTGTAGTAGATAACTACAACTCTAACTTTCTGTCCCTCTTCCTTGCTGGTTCTTCACTGGATGGAACCCAAAGCGCATCCCCAATAACGACAGAGGAAACACTATTTTGATCTAGTCCTATTTTTCTCCCTGCTCCCCATCTTTCTCCAGATGGAATAACCTCTTTACTGAAAAGCAGGTCTTAAAATGAAAAAGTGACAGAATTTGGGCCTGCAAAAGTTAAGAGAAAGCACTGTACTCTAGAATTAAATGCAATGCTTTCCTGAAATGAAAAACCAGTTCCTTCTAATATTCTGACACCTAAAAAGTCAGCAGCCTTAGCCATCAATCTGGTTATATCTGTAGCAGACCGGGAACAAAAGTAACACCCACAGCACGATAGCTTCCCACTACAGGACTGGCCGTTTTGAATGTCTGACTGACGAGGTAAGGAGCAACTGTATCAGAAAACCTAAAAATGGAAACGGGACGTTAATCTCCACAGCCGTGCTTAGCTAACTAGGGCAAGGACGGCGACTCGCAGCGAGCAGCTCGGTTTTGCCGCGGCTGGCCGCCATCTTCTGACCGGGACTGTGGAAAGGGACGTTAAACGTGCCAGAACCGCGGCGGCGGGAGCTCTGCGAGT